GGGGGTTACAAGCACGCTGAGATACTCCAGCTGAGTAAAGAGCCTCTTGTTCCTGGTGACCTCACCTTTGGTTCTACTAGGATTAGGCCTGGATAAAACCTTACAGCCAGCCTCAGTCTTGGGGAGAAGTATATAATGACAGGGACATAAAGGAAGTAGCAAATGAGATTATCAATTCTGTCTAGTGATGACAGCCACCATCTGCCAGTGTGTCCCTGGGTTAGTGCATGTTCAACCGAAGATAAGATGGCAGACTGTGTGACCAGAGAAGTGGACAGTTTCCCTGCCCACAGCACTGTGGCAATGAGTGTGGAGAGTGGAACCAGACTGTCTTTGCTCCAGTTTCAGCCCTGCTAACTGCATGGCCGTCAGTTGTGAGCTCTGAACTCATATCCAGAGCCTCAGACCACTCATTTGGTTTGATTTGGGAATTAGAAACCCTGAGTATTCAGGGTGCTCTTGCCCATCCCTCCCATTTTGGAGCAGTGTTCTGCGGGTCACACAAAGTATGAGTACTGGCTTAGACACACACACACACACAAAGACAAACACAGACAAACGTGCACCACAGTACATTAAATAAGGATTATGAGATGGGATCAGAAGAGGAACAGACATGGAGGAGGAAGTCAGAGGAAGATAACTTGGGTCTCAGGCAACACCTACAGGTGACATCACTCTCCAATTTTTTAGGCCTTATTCCACTTGCACCTGAGGACATCCCTAGAAGTACTTTCTAGAATCATTCCCACTGTGCAGCTGAGGAGACACACTGGCCTGGACACACACCAGGATTTCCCCAGGATGGAGAACAGGTAAGGATGAGGAGTGGATTCTGGAAGCCAGGGCGTCTCCTCAAAGCTGCCTGCAGAACCTCCCCCGGCAGCTATAGAGACGGCGGGGCTGCTCTAACTGTGCAAGGTGCGGGTTTGCATGGAGAAGGGCGTGAGCAGGCAAGCAGCCCAGAGGGCTGTGTGTGGAGGTGTTGTCTGAGGAGGGGGTTCCAGGAAGTGGACCCCACGAAGTGACATCACATCCTTAACAGACCCCAACCGAAATGGAACCTGGTTACCAGGCACCCACATTCTAACAACGGCTCCAGAGCAAGCGCACTTGGCTGGAGACAGTTGAAGACGCAGGATGTTCTCCTCTTGTTTCCCGGTCTCCCGGGGCTTCTCCGCCAGGAAACCCAGGACTGCGAGGTTCTTCAGTGGCTGCAGGCGTCTGTGGAACCCTCCACCCAGGCGCCTGTGGCCTATTTTGAGGAGGTCACTGAAGGTAACGCTGGGTGGCCTGGAGAAGGCCAGTCTGGAACTGGCCTTCCATAGGGGCCCTCCCTGGGCAGGCCCACTTTCCCTAATCTCCATGTCGCTATAGGGGGACTTGAGAGGAGGTGCCCCCTCTGGGCAGGAATGGCTTGTTGAACACTTGGTGACCTGGGGGTCCTGTCATGGCCGCACCCAAGGACAGGGCTGATAAGGGGAAAGAGGAATCCTGAGGGGCATCTTCTCTGTGTCATTGGGAATACAAGGCTCCCACTTTGTCAGCTTTTCTGCCCCTGAAGGAGGCCTGTGCAGACGGTGGTGGGTGTGTGTCAGGACTGGAGATGTCTAATGGGTCAGAGAAGCAGAAAGGGCTCTGAGGCTCCTGCCTGGCCTCTGGGCACTGTATTTACAGGACTCCACACATGGGACGGGTCAGGACCTGGTCCACGGAGATCCCCACTCCACCTCCCTCCAGGAGGCGCAGGTGCCCCACGAGAGCAGCAGAGCCCAGGACGCGCTCAGGGTGAGTGCGAGCGAGGAGACTCCACACCCAGGAAGCCCCGGGCCCTGCTGCTGCCCCTCTTCTCCCCTGGGCTGCCTCTTAAGAGAGCTGCTGGCAAAGGGATCTGATGCCCCGTCTCCCCCATCTGCCGTCACAACCCAGGCCCTGACTTGGCCAGACGCAAAGTCAGTGCCCACATATGGGTCCGAATCTCAGAAAGAGACTCGGACAGAACTTCAGTATACGTAAAGTCAAGGGTATTTCTGCATTTTTCTACATGTTGTCCTGTTTCTTCTCCATCCCCATGTGTCCACATTCACCTGAAGACCCTGAGCCCTCCCACCCCAGGCTCAGCCGCTGTGTTCTCATCCCTTGAACGGGATGTTGTGACAGCAGTCACGGGGATGAAGTGGTGCAGGCAGGGAGGGGCCGGCACTGCGGTGCCGACACAGGGATTCGAGACACTGAAGCATTTCATCACCGCCCTTCATCCCTGGTACTGGTGCCGAGAACCATGGATCTGCTCAGGGCTCCCCTGTTCCACCTCAGTCACAAGAGCTTGAGGCTTGAGGATTCGGTCTAATCTCCAGCCCCAAGTGCCTGGGGGTCCCCGGTGCTGCCTCTCATTCATGTCTCTCCTCTTTCCACCCCAGGGGGGAGCTGGACCATCAGGGAGCAGGGATGAGGCCTGCAGGGCTTGGAGCCTACGGTGACACAGGCTGGAGAAGCTGGTGGCAAAGCTGGTGCCTGCCATCCTGGGCAGCCACCCCTCCTATGTGAACATATTTCTGGGCAATTATCGAACATTTGCCACCGCCCATTAGGTGCTGGACCATGTGTTCCGAAGGTGAGCACTGTGTCTTCATGGGACATTGGGGACCTGGCCACCTACCAGCAGTGCCATGAGGCATTGTTCCTCTTCCTCTCTGAGCCTCAGGGTCCCCCCTGCACACTGGGGTCAAGAGAGGATCAGGCCCTAGGAGGGTAGGAACAGAGGGAGACCTTCATGGAAGGTGCTCTCCGGTGACCTAGCTCATGGGAAGGGCAACTGGCGGGGCTGTGGTTGTGCGTATTTGTCATTGTCCTCCTGCCCAAGGGCTAGCGTCTGCCTCCTGTGTCACTGGGACTTCGGCTTTGGGCGCAACTGTTTTCCCATTTCAAAGGGGATCTGTGATACCATTAGCTGTCCCTGTCTTGGGAGAGTGAGAGCAGGGATCCCTGGGAGGGATAAGTGGGGTCCCAGGCCCACTCAGATGTGCGCTATGGGGCCAGGTGGGCTCACTCACTCATTCCTCAAATGTATAGGAAGGGCCCCCAGGGACAGGGGCTTTTCTAGGAACAACCATCATTTAATGCATCGAGCAGACATCAGCCCTGCCCTCCAGGGCTTCCATTCTCCCGGGACTCACGCTGTCACACTAGACAGCACATCCAGCTAGTGTGCTCGGGACAGTCCATGTGATGCCTTCCTGCTCTCCTCTAGATATGGATGCATCCTCCCTGTTACGGAAGAGGACGGGGGACCCCTGAACCAGCTGAAACAGTGAGTCTCTTGGATTGAAGCGGGAAGGACTCCTTCCCCAAATAGTGTGTGAAGCTCTGGGCTCTCTGGTTGGGCAGAGGTGGGCAGAATCCTGGATCCCGCATATCCTGCGAGTCTGGATTGAGAGCAGAAGTCCTAGGGCTTCCCCTGGCAAAGAAGAGACGAGACCCAGAGAGCTGTGGTGCTGTGAGGGGCATCTGGGAGGTCAGAGGACAGAGTCAAAAGTGGAGAAAAGCCACAAGCATCCCCTATCCATCCCATCCCTGCCCACACGCCCTTTGGGAGACACAGAACACAAGGGGTGGAGAGCATCCTGCCCACCATCTAGTGGAGCCTCAATGGTGGGGACTCAGCTGGTGCTCAGGGGACCCAGGGAGCCTCAGGGGACAGCTCAGCTCATCCTGATGATGCTGAGTGGCAGGGACAG